TGCTGCGGCTGGCATCGCCCATCCTCCCTGTCCGTTCCTTTCCCCCTGATTTAGCTGTCGTTTGCAGCGTTGGCCTTGTCTGTCTGTCTGTCCACTGCGTGCGGCCTCCGCCCGAGTGTGCCTGTCTCCCCTCTGTCCGTCCGTCCTTCTGTCCGTGTGCTAATCGTGCCACCCGTCCCCACGGTACCAGCCATCCCAGCCCTGTCCAGCCATTGCAGCTGCGTGTTGCCGAGTCCCTTCGGCGCAGCTTTCCAGCGGTTCATCCAGGCGACCGCTGTGCCTGTGAACTTTGCACATCTGGCCGTCACACCATCGCTCTGCGCATTAGCTCTCTCCTCGCTGTCTGCCCATCTCCCCTTTCCGTCACTGCTCTGCCGCTCCGTTCGTTTTTCTCCCTCGCTATCTTCCTGTGGCATCTGTGTATCATTTGCCCACAAAATAAATCTCTTTCTATCCTGTATGCTGCCCACTCATCTTCTTTATCTGCCCTCCCACTTACCAAAGGCATGTGCATTTACAGTATCTATGGGATCTGTTGCCTTCTACGTCTGCTTGTTACAGTCACGGAGGAAATTTATGGGCACACACGATCTCACACAACACAAGTGATGCGGATCGGTGCGGCGACACCATACCGTTCTTTTTCTGTCACCGTCACCGCAGTTTATAAAGAAGTTGTGTATTGACTAACATGCCGAAAGCTTGCTTAGGGCACGTTTTGGGGTTTGTTATTTTTTAGTAGGCTGTTGTTGGGAGATCTGGGGTGGGCTCGTACTTCCGTTTAGCATTCGGTCAGTCGCTGGCTTTTGTAACGCTTCCAAAATTGACTTTGTGTCAAAGGTGGACCAACACAGTGAAAATCTTTGTCCCTGAAATATTACGAGGTACCGAATGGGCCCTGGAGGCGCGTTTGAAAGGCACCTAGGGTAACAAATGAAGGCGCCGACTGTGCAAAAAATCCCATTCAGAGATTGACAAAAATAATGAAGATTCTTAGGAAAAGAGCAGGAAGGAAAAAAATCTGTGTTTGGCTCTGTACAGAAAGAAGTGAAATGGAGAAGGGCAGATGAGAAAATGCCTTTCCAGCGATAATTTTAAATAGCGATTGGGAGGCTTTGATTCAAGGACCAGAATTACAGTCTCCGCCGTAAAGGCCAGCTTCCGCATTTGTCACCTATGCCAAATTTAGTGAGGACTTTACAGTACAAAATCGCAGCGGGGCCGCTGGTATTTCTGAAATATTTTATGCGGCAGACTCTTTTGTTTACAAATAAGGGGTTATGTCAGGCGTTCGGTGACGTTTGGTTTCTCCGTGACAATTTCGCTCCTTTAATTCTGGTCTTATTGAAAAGCGTGTCGAGAACAGTCAGTAATGGCGTTACAGACAGAGCGACCGCTCCGTTGCTTTGCCTCGTATGGGCGTTTATCGTTTCGAGGAGAAAAAGTGGCGATTGAAGCAAGTAATAATAGCAGATATTCTACCAGACCAAGGGGGCGGTCAGCTTGATCTGCTGGATGAGCAGGCACGTTACTGAAATCTTTTCCCCTGACGAATCCTCTCTGTTAAACTGTGACGAGAATTTGTGAAAACCGAAACAAAGTCCCCGGTCTGGCGTCGGCGTTTCAGTGGTTACTGACAGGCTCTCCCCGTGAGAACTGGCAGGTCGCTGGAAGTTAAAACTGTTCTTAGACCCATGAGATAGCAGAGCCCGAATACCCGTCTTGTCGAAGTGCTGCTGTGGCGTCTGTAAAGCGGGCTGGCTGGAAATACCCAGGTCCGGAGAGCTCTTACTGGTGTCTGCGGATCTGACATGTCCGACTACAGCCCGATGATGAACGTTGCTGTCGGAATTCCCTTTTCAAAGCGTTTCGGTTGCAAATAATTTGGGGTACCTGATTCAGTGCCTGCCTTCTGGCCGGCACGGCCTCGCTGCTCCCTCGATCCGCTGTGCTCTAGCGTTGTCCGTGAATCCAGAATGGCACACAAGCTAACATTTCCTTTTTTGACTTAATCTTGCTGATCTCTCCTTATCTTGCAGACGATCTGGCCTCATCTAGAGTCCGCCTCTATTTCTTCATCTCGAATGAAGGGAACCAGAACTTGTTTGTCGTTCAAGCCAGCCTGTGGCTTTACTTGAAGCTGCTTCCATATGTCTTAGAGAAAGGCAGCAGGCGAAAAGTAAGAGTCAAAGTCTATTTCCAAGACCCGGACACTAGCAACAAGTGGAATGTGGTTGAAAAGAAAGTTGATCTCAAAAGAAGTGGTTGGCACACTTTTCCCATGACAGAGGCGATCCAGGCTCTGTTTGAGAGAGGAGAAAGGAGACTGAACTTGGATGTTCAATGTGAGGGCTGTGAAGAGTATTCAGTGCTGCCAATTTATGTGGACCCCGGGGAGGAATCCCACCGGCCTTTTTTAGTGGTGCAAGCCCGCCTCGCCGATAACAAACACAGGATCCGGAAAAGAGGCCTGGAGTGCGATGGCAGGACCAATCTATGTTGCAGGCAACAGTTTTACATTGACTTTAGACTCATTGGGTGGAATGACTGGATCATAGCTCCATCAGGTTACTATGGGAATTACTGTGAAGGGAGCTGCCCGGCCTACTTGGCCGGTGTCCCGGGGTCGGCTTCCTCCTTTCACACCGCCGTCGTGAATCAGTACCGAATGCGGGGGCTGAACCCGGGCACCGTGAACTCCTGTTGCATTCCAACCAAACTTAGCACAATGTCAATGCTGTACTTTGATGATGAATACAACATTGTGAAAAGGGACGTTCCCAATATGATTGTGGAAGAATGTGGTTGTGCTTGATTTAAGGTGTGTTTTTTGGGGGGGGGGGGGGGGGGGGGGGAGAGGACGAGAGAAAGAGAGAAACATTCCCGTACGAGATGGTGTTGGAGGAAGTTTCACTGTGTATCCAGGCATCAGTGTTGGAAAGTCACTGTGGAAAAGTTTGCCAAAAAAAAAAAAAAAAAAAGAAAAAAAAAAATCATTTCACTTTGGTGTCAGGACAGTGGCAGTTTGTGGATCTTGGACACTTATATATTCTACCACTTATAAGTTAATGCTATGAAATGTCTTAAAGAGACACACACACACACGAAACGTGGGCACGCACACAAGCACGCGCTCATACACACGCACAGGCACAGACACACACACGAGGCAGCTCGGAAAAGGGACACGAGCACAGAAAGTCAGTGACCAGTGACGCCGGACCTAAATGCCTGCCAGTACAAGTGAACGGCTGAGCAGCTGTTTTTCCCCACCTGCCAGCGAAGTCAGACCGAAATGAGCTCCCTTTGCTCAGGCAAAAGCACAGACTGCGAGAACACGATGTATTCTTGCACGCAGGTGTCGAAATGACCAAACATAGAAAACTTAAAACAAAAAAAAAAAAAAAGAAAAAGAAAAAAAAGTCGACCGTCACCTCTGAGGTCTAACGGGAAGCTGCAGGACACCTGCCTTGGGAGGTGATCACTTCCTCTTAATTTAAATTCATCTAGATGTAAACGTCACAGATACCCGCATCTTCTTACAGCACTTCCAGTAAGGAACCGCGTGGTACCACCAGAGAGAGGGAAAAGGAGACAGACACGTAAGCGACTGCTGTGTTGCTAACATCTGACGCTGCAAAGTCACAAGCTGGGCTGGCGTGATCCGATGCTTGAACTGCCCACCCGCAACCCGTGGATGGCTACCCCCGCCGCGTCTTGGAAAAGGGGACCTGAGGCCACATCTGGGCTGTGTTGACTGTTGCCATCTCTCGCTGTCCAGAGAGTGAAAAGTTAAGGTTTCAATCTGTGTTCTGCAATGGGGGACTCGGCGAGGACACGTCATGTGGGGGACGAGCGAACAAGTGACCACTGCCACGGCTAAACCAATGAACCCTGAAGAGGAGTGACAGTAACCGAGTGGAGACGTTCTGAAAAATGCAGTGTGTTTAATAACAGGCGAGGAACATTTTAACGAGTCTTGGAAAGGAGGAGAGAGGAGAGCGCTTTCAATTTCCTTACCAGGAGGTGTCGAGGATGGCCATAAAGATCAGAAAATAATGATACAGCATAGCACTTGCAAACTGCTTGAATGCACGTATAATAGCACTTGCAAATTTCAATGCCTTGAAAAGTGGTACTTGATAGTGCACTTATCTTTGCTCACTATCTAGGTAAACAGGTGCCGCATGAGCTATGCAATTTAAAGTGTTGACCCATACTAGACAAAACTGGACTTATGATATGACTTTTTTATATTTTTTTATACTTGAAATTAAAATCTTTTGCTTCTTTTTTAAAGCGAATGATTGCTTTTAATGTTTGCACTGATTTAGTTGCATGATTAGTCAAAAAACTGCCATTTGAAAAAAAATGTTATTTTTATAGCAGCAAAAAATGAATACAGTTAAATGTATTATACATAAATTTTGGAACCAAAGAGGCCAACGTATTAGTTATAATTTTTATGAGATGGCAAAGCCATCATATATCATGTAGTCATACTGAGCAATCCCTCACGAGGCCTACCAATTGTTTCAGGGTACAAAATGGATTCTGTTTGTTCTATTCAGTGTCTTTTCTATACCATACGCACATGGAACGTAGAGTGAAAAAAAAATGACTATTGTAGAATACATTACAATATGTGCATCCTTCAAATCCAATTTTTATGTTTATTTAATAAAGTTCCTTTTAGGTTCTGTTCCATAATAATTTAAACCAAACAGTTTTCACTTAGATTTGCTGTTGAAGTATTTTACATTTGTGTACAGTTTAAATAAATAAAGAAAGATTGAAAACTGGATGTGCTTTTTTTTTTTTTTCAGTGTGTAACATCTGGAGACACTTGCTTACTTTCGGGACTGAATGCGGCTGCAGACAGCGAACTGTCGCATTAGACCGTAGTCGTATTAGTCATTGCAGAAAGCCTTGTCTGAGAGCTCAGCTGCGATCCTAAAAATGTTACACTCTAGTTTTATTGCCGTCTATACATGTAAGCATCTGCTGCTTTCTGTCTGCATCAGCGCAGGGTCTCTGGGCGCAGGAACGGCGCTGTTCCGCATACCTGCAGGTCATTTACAGCAAGTTCCTGGTTCACCTGCTGTGTAAGAATGTAACTTCTTCTCTAGGTCACTCCCTGATCGGTTACAAGAAGTAAAAATATACTGTGGAAAGCACTTCCAGGAAAAAGAGGTCAATAGTAAGTTTGATGAACAACTTTTGTTTTGTTTTGGTTTGGTTTTTTATTAGCTGGCACCAAGGAGAGGTTTTTTTGAGTAAAATACAGCCCCTTAACGAATAAAAACTCCAAAATGTTGACAAATATTCATAGAAATTCTTGTCATCTGCTCGTGTATCCAGGTATTGATTTCATTGCTCTTCACAGATAAATCCTTCCTCCTGGAGACCTGAGCAAATGCCAGCTGAAGCTGACAGAAGGACCTCTGCTGACTTAGCAAATGTTAGATCTGACCCTGAGACCTGGGAGGTGTTGAAGAAGTAAGTCCATGCAGCTAATGATGGGTTCTAGTTACAATTCACATTGAAGCGTGGCTCTGCCCACCCCTCCCCAAAGCCAGACTCTGGGGTTGAACGGCTTTGTTTCGGGAGACCTCCACGAGCAGTTTGCTGTGGCTGTGTCAATAACCTGCTGCACGGAACTTTGTTCCCCAGACCAAATTTTTTGAATATTTCATGGCTTCTCATCACCTCAATCTGCACGTTTTTTTGTCAAAGCCACCACTCGCTATTAGCAGCCTTCTCCCCGTCTTTGTTCCTGGAGTCAACCCCGTTGCTGGCGAGTTCGATCGAATGCCCTTGAAATCAGTGGCAAATACACATCCATTCGGTCTGAAGGCACATTTGACCTGATATGACACAGTCTTCATTAGTTAGACTGGGCTGCACTTTTAAAAATGGGATATATTAAGAAATCTTGCCCATTGAAATGCAAGGCCCTGGGGGCTGGGTCTGGTTAGGTTTCGTTCTTAATTGGAAGTGGCTGAGTTCTGGGGTTGAAGCCAAGCCCTGCATTGGACACTGGGACTCCTGTGCTCTCCCAGGAGGAGAGTGGGGTGTCTCAGCGTGGGATTTGGACCGGCAGCCCCAGAGCAGGGAGCTGCTGGCAGCCAGGGTGCCATGAGCTTGGGCTGGCCGGGAGTGAGGAGCAGGAGAGGGCTGTGCTTTACATCCCCCTGCAAACCCACAAACAAGCCTGGGTTCCTGAACTCTTTCACAGAGGCTGGCAAAGAACACCCGTTTTCTCGGCAAAAAAGCTTTCAGAGCTTTCTTCCCCTGCCTTCCCTGCTCCCTCATCTGCAGCTGTGTCTCTGACATTCATGGAGCAGAAAGAGAAACGCAAAGAGCACAGATCAGGATGGTGTGAGGGGCATCATCCGCGAGTGGGAAGAGCTGGATCATAGTCCGGGCTCCCGAGTCCTATTATTTTGTGTCAAACAGGCTATGGAAATCAATCTGAACAGAACATGCCTTGAGTTTTCTGCGGTGTAGCATCACTCGCTACTCTTAGCACGCTGTAGAGTGAGGTATTCCCGAGTCCCGGTACCGGCAGCGACCTGTCACACAGATTTCTAAGGCGAAAATGAAATAAAATGGAAAAGGTCTTTATTTTTGAGGGGCCAATCTGAGACAGTTTGGGCCTGATTTTTCAGGGCTGTGACAAGGCCATTGCTCTTGCTAGCTTTTTGCAGGGGGCTACACAAGCACCACTGCTTGCAGCTTCCACCTCCTGCATTATTGAAATCAGGCAAGATGAAAAGTGAGATGCCCAAACTTGATGGCTGATTTTGAAAACTCTGGGCTTGATTTTCCCTTATGTCATTACCATCCTTGCAAAACTCAGCATCCAGTTTCATTGCCTTATGCTAAGTTGGGTACCGTATCTACAAAACTCTCTGGGTCAGGCCCATGCCCTCCCTGAGGTGACTGGGCGTCTCTCTCTTGTCTCTGATAGGCTTTGAATTTGGTCCTGTCAGTGCTAAGTTATTGTATTCTATCACGTGGCAGAATCAGTCTCTGCAGCTGGGAAATCTTTGTCCTTTAAAATATTCTAACACAGGCAAAACCCCCATCCCTGTGCCTGGACCTCCCACCGGCACTAATGAGGATGGTGTGAACGGGGTGACTGTCACGATGTGGTGCTACAGAGCACTTGGTGGATTAACTCTGCATACATCACATATTTCCACACATAATAGACACCCACTCCAAAATCGCCAGGTCTCACCTTCTTCGCTTTGTTACTTGTGAGAGATGAAGTCAGCAGCAGAAATTAATTGCTGCACTCCCCCTGCCCTGGGAGAAGAGGGAACCCCCTTACTGAGTGAATCCTTCTTAAGAATAGTTTTTGTCTGGCATGGTTTCTGTTGCGAAGGGTTGAAGAACGTTTTGCAAAACACAAATTTTTGTGTAAGAGCAGAGTCTCTTTCTGTTAACGCTGGTGTCAGTCTGCAGTAGCTTACGAAAGGTCTGCAGATGTAATTCAGGCTAGCACCAATGTAACTAAACACACACCTGAATCTGGTTTTCTTGAAATCCTGATTGGGCCCAGCTCATTCTCAGGGTTTCTTAAAGTTTGGTTTTGTTGGTTGTTTTTTTTTTTTTTTTGGTTTAGGATCAGCAGCTAAAAGTTTTAGCAAAATCCACAGATGCTGCATGGCAGATCAGAACAAGAGAAGACACCTAACCTGGCCAGGAACATGGGGAGAATCCTCCTGCATATGCTGGAATTTGGCCAGGAATTAGAAATTTCTGTTGGCACAAAATACCCCAGTAGCTTTCATTTGCTTGCCCAGTCAGTACCCTGAAACTGAAAGCTGGATTTACCTGGCTGCCTGTAGTGGTGGGGGCCAATTTTATCTGGGTAACTTCATTGATTTCAGGGGAATTGTTTCTGATTTGTACTAGAATAAGTGGGAGCAGATTTAGGTTCTTTAAAGTTC